AGGAAAAAAATTTTTTCAGCAAAATATTACATACCAAAATGCAAGTACTAAATGTAAGGTTTGAAAGGTACATTTGACGAAAGAACTGGCAGATCTAAATAGGTAACAAAAATTGACAAACACAAATAATTAGGTTTGTTCACAACAAACGTCGTAATAATATACTTATATCTTCCGAGTAAAAAATTATGGAAAAGTTATGAGAGCTGCAAAATATTTAAAACAGCGTATTGGAGTAGGATTGAAAAAATGAAAGTTATACCTCAAGAACTTCTCGAGCTATAAATTGTGCACTACTGCGGAGCGTCATGCCGAGGTCGATGCCCGGATCCCTCTGGGGTTGGAAGTCCATGTGTCTTTGTGCTGGAGGCAGCACATCGCGCCCAAATGAAGTAGACACACTAGAAATAATAATAATATGTGGGACACATACAGAGCAAGTCAGCCAGCTCCAGAACACGATAAACAAAACAGAAGGTGAAAACCAAACTTACTCGCGACTAACAGCTGACGTTCCCGGCTGATCTGATAAAATTTCTTCATTGGAGCTGAAATCCAATGTCACCACATCCTTGTCCGATTCCTCACTGCTCGAGAAATTTAAAAGGTCGCTCGTCGAAGCGTTGGCATCGAGCGAAATCGCTTTTTTCCGAGCGCACGTGGTTTCGGATGTTGACGCCATCACGCGGATCACGTGCGTTTCAACCTTTGAATGGGCGCGCCCTTTAAAAATCACAGCCAGGCGGTAAAAATGCGAACCGTACAGAAACAGAAATTCTAGTGTGTGTACAATTGCCTAGATGGCGCTGCAAGTCCATAAGCACGGTGTTTGTTGAAAAATAGGGGTGTGAAATCGTCGTTCGCCGGTGAACGATGCCTAGTGGCGTGGTAAGGAAAGAGTTAAGGTCTCTAAATCTGTCGCTAAACTGAGTCGTTGGAATGAACTAAAAGCAAGTTCCTTGGTGTGCTTCAGTTATATCTCCCATAGCAATAGACACAAAGGAGCGGTAAAACCACCCTCAAAAGCGCGTCAGAACAGATCGCGCCGGCCGACCACGTGCAGATATTTAAGGTGCCAGCAACAGCTGCTTGTTGAAAGCGAACATCATTTCAGCTCCTCCACAAACAACGCACGCCGTGATAGCGAACAATGGGAAACATCGACAGCATTCAAGAAACTAACGCAGCTGCCACTGGCACGCTTCCATATGTGCCGTAGAACATACTAGAAGTATTTAGTTAGTTTCCTGGTCTCCCCTGTGCTGGGCACAAGTGAGCAGTGTGGAATATTCTTGAACTAATCTGCAGCCTAATATAGCGGGCCGTGATAGCAAATCAGTACAGTCGGTGAAGAAGCCGCAAAAAAATTATGTAACGGACCGGCAATGTAGGGATCAACAACAATCCGCGCTGGAATCTGCAAAAGTTTTTTCTCTGAAGAGAAACATTCGGGACACTTTTCAAGAACTTGTGGACTGGGAATGACTGGTGAATATCTCAGGACCTTAAGTGTATGAAAGAATTTGCAGTGCATAACATTGCATTTGTAGCGTGTGTGGTTTGACTGTTCCCGCTGTCTTAAGCATTGTCAAAATTAGATAGTGAACTGACTGGTCGAATGTGCATGTATGTGCATGCAAGAATTGTACGGCCTTAACTACGAATACATTTTGTTTCTATTGTCAACTCCTGGCTTTGACACAGTCTTCGGACCACAACCGGCTTTCGCTGGCCAGAAGGGGACCTAATATCAATTGTCCAAGCTTTTGTGGTGTGTTTCGAGGGGCCGATACTTCAGCCCTTGGAATCATCCCGGCGATTCCCTTAGCAATCACGGGGTTAATGACACATGGGCAGGGAATTAATGTTTTTCATACCATACCATGCAGACATGGGCACGGAGTTCTTAATAGTGAAATATTTGCGACAAATATAGCGTATTCATCAAACTTTAGGGATTCTGATAAGGCAAGAAAAAAAAGATTCCCATCATATGCATCTATCTGGAAGGGCACAAGTGATTGAAATGCTTGTCTGAGTTTTTTTTTTTTTCTTATGAAGAACCTTCATTCAGTCCTACCAATGCAAACTATGTTACGCCCTGATTGAATGTCAACAGTAGCGCTAATTGGTAAAACCTTAGATCTAAAAGGGCATTGTAACACGATGGCCACCACAACACGTGCTGATATGTGGTTTGTTATATATGTGATATGCATCATGTTAGGTGATCACCAGGTTGCTATAAAATTATGAGTGATAGAGAATAAATGGAATTGTTTTTTCACGGCACTAAGCATACTGTTTCGCTTCAGCCGCTCTCCGCGAGTTGGCTATGACCAGCTGCGACACGCATCTCAGAGGTGACACGTTTGCTGTAGAATGGATGCCTTTGTTCCTATTACGTGTTTCCTAGAGTCCACTTATGATGCAAAAAGAATGCTTGCCAGCAAGCAGAGTCCATATTTCGGACTATTTGAAGGAATACAATATTGCTTAGTGATGGACACAATTCATGTTCATTATTATATAAAGGAAGTATGAAAAATGCCAGGATTGCACGGAACACACAGCACAATCACAACGAAATTTGAAAGAGCGGCTTTTCAGAGCCTTTTCTAAACACTTTTTGGGTAACTGCTACAAGCACATGGCAGAGTGCCAACTACACTATAAATAATCGTAATTTCTGTGTAGTAGGCCAGCATTCAATAGGCTATCCTTTGTCATTTTTTAGAAAAGCGTGGTATCTGCTACACACTCTTTCGGAATATTGTGCGATTTTTTATGCCGTGCCTGACGATGATGAAGAACTATGTCTGAAGTGGATATGGGCCACAGTTATTAGGTGATCAAGAGCAAGTTTTGAAATGAATTGGAGCATTAGACACCCCACTCGTTACATGCAATTCGCATTGTGTGATGCCTGGCTGTTCCTTTGATGTTTTAAAATGCTTCATTACTCATATTAACACGATTCTTTTTTTAACATCAAGCCTGCCCAAGGACAGTTTAGAAACAAGATACAAGCACTGGCATCACTCAGTGGTAGAATACAGGGCTGGCACGCAGCAGACCCGGTTTCAAATCCCATTATGTCACTGGTGTTTGGTACTTACTTAGTTTATTTCTTTTCCATTTTCGTTAAGGACAGCGGTGGCTGCGGACAACTATGGCGCTGTGCCTGACCCGTGTTCTGATCTCATATCAGCTTTCATTGTAAAAGTTAGGAGAAAAACTGTATCCTTCAAATAGCAAGCAAGTTCATTATTTTACATTAAAATGATTGTTATTTCCATAAAATGAGTATTATACATGAAAATTGAAAGAAGTTTCACATGAAAGGCAACCATGAACACAATATGCTTGTTGCAGCACCTTTTCATTGCACCCTTTATGTTATTAAATCAAGCCAAGTGAGGCTGACAAGTCAATGATATTGAGGTCCTTGCGACCTGCATCTCTAGTTACATTAGGAGCATTTAAGAGCAGGAGGCAATATGTGCATGTATGCAAGCCAGTATATTAATTAGCTTTGCCCATATTAACTGGATAATAACATTATAAACGCTATACAACATACGTATTCTGGAAGCTTACATGTTTGAGGCACTGTGTACACAGCTGGATGAGCTGCAATTCGCAACATATTTTGAAGTCACATGCACTGGGCACGGAACCGTGTGTTGAAGTCACGCAGTAGATTATCATTGTATACACAAACCCTCTTAGACTTCCTTTCAAAATCGAATGATTTAAAAAGAACAGTAGTTTCGAACTTGAAAAAACAGCATCAAGACCAGAGACGATGATGGCGCCCGTCCTTGTATCACCTACTTTTCTGCTGTCTTTGTGCTGTTTTTTCAAATTTAGGTTATTCACCAACTAGCGCAAATTTCTCACTACTCCAGTTAGTAACAATAGGTTGTTTTGAAGGCTCCAAAGTATCATCTTGCTGTAATAAGATAATCAAAGGATGAAAATAAGAGGGGACAGACTGACCATTTTTTTCGTCCTACACAGCATACGATCTGTGCATTTTCAGTTTAGAATTATATAGGTGTATAAAACGCATTTCTAGAGTAAATGAGAAAAATTCGACCTCCAAGCTACCCCTTAAATTGAAATTAAAATTTTGAAAATGCCCTTCAACATGGACGTTGCATTGTCACTGACAGGGACTGCGAAACACTTACGGAAGGGGGGCTAGGATGTTCTCAGGGAGTTCACGATTCCGAACCCGCCTATTGGTGCACCACTCTCTTCCTCTTAACTGTGATCAACTAGAACATTTTTTTATTGTAGAGAGCTCAACTGTAAAGCAGCTATTTTATCTGTGGGTCTACAGCATTAGGTGCATCCCTAAAGTCTAAGGCCCGTATTCGCAAATGCTCCTTGACTTCGAACTCTTCCTCAAAGGATCCTTGACATTTTTCGTGTTGCAGAGATGGCTACGTGAAACAATCATCAAGGATCCCTTGAAGTCAATTTTGAGCCAAGCAGCATTTTAGAATGAGCCTTAAAATCTACAAAGGCCACCTCCCTTCACTCCTCTATCTTCCCCTTCCTCCCCCCCCTTGTTGAACTATTGTTCCCATAAAAAAAGTTGGTGCTGTTCTTAACTATCACTTCAGAAGAATGTTGCGTCCTTATCATGCCTCTTACACTTTCAAGGACATGAAACTTAGCCATGAAACAAAAACAACACTTGTACGCCAATGCAAACCATTTTCAAAAAGTTTGGCAAATCCCCCGTATGGCTGAAATCAATTTCATGTGGAACCGTCAGAGAGCAGCAATTTATGGCAAAATTTCCACTTTGAGCCAAGTATTATGACATGTGTCCCTGTTTTTGCCCTGTTTTTGTGCAGAGTGAATAGGTGAGTGCAAGTCGCAAGTTTGTCAGACACATTGAGTACACTGGCATGCAAAGACTGGAGGACTTTTATCTGTGCATTCAAGAGGGCCCTGCAAAAGCCCCATGTGATGCTGCGACTTGCCTCATCCAGGTCGTCATCTGTGAGTGCACGTAGCTGCGTGGCATGCTTTTCGATGCGGGATTGGTACTTGATGGGGTTAGCCAAGGCGTCAGCCAGCTCCGAAAGACCATCAGGAACGTAGTCCTTGACAGTGACGTGCACAAACAGGGTCTGCAGCAGCAACGGTTGACCTGACTCATTGCGCAGAGAGATGTGCCGATAGCCCGGACGTAGCCCCACCACAGGCAGGATGCGGTGCCCCAGCAGCTTCCCACTGTCATCGCACGCCTGAAAAATTGCCTAAATATAATTTCCAATCTACTACATTAGAAAAAGATCACCGATAATATGAATGCAAAATTGGTCTGTGGAGAAAATACTTTGCATGTAAGACACATGAAAGCCACCTGAATTTCTCATGGTTTTAAAACCATTCAAGCAGTACACTGCATATCAAGACACTGGAAGAAAGATAAACTTGAGATCTTAACGCTGCCCTATCATCATCTTAAGTTTTTTTAAGCGACGCATGCGAAGTGTAAAAGCAGAGATCACTGTGCAATCTTGGCGCAGAATGAGAAGCCAAAGAAAGCTTAAGAAACACATGGCCACGGACATAAAAATTTATTTACACTCCTTGTAGGTGGTCCGTCCTATGTACTGCTGATTTTTTCATGTTGCAGTCTCTGTCGTTCGGTGCCTTCTTAAGGAGGGGGAGTACGTAGGGTTGCGAGAACAACCCCACAGCCGGCGCACGGAACGGGTTCCCCCTCCCTCAGTGAGAAAAGGTATTATTCTTGTCAGGGAGAGAGAAACGGGGACAGTGGACAAAACTAGCGTACACACGGCTCCACGCGCTCTCCAACACTGGCCAGGAATGAAGGAGGTCAAAACCGCAACCCCCTGCGAGCCGAGGATGACAACGACCAAGGAGTAAGAGTCTACCCTTGTTTTCTGTACTATCTCCTCGCGACATTTGCACGCTATTGCCAACGCCTTTCAATAAAGTGCTGTTGTTGACGTAGCCTGTTGCCTTATTCGCCTGAACCCGTGTAGCTGCAATGCGACTAGCTACAGATAGGGGACGTTAATCATGCACGATACGACTGTGTGCACCTGAAACATTAGCTAGGCTTCTATGTCACCCGTATATAAGATGGACCCCCTACATCTGGCACGCAACGTAACGAATTTGGCAACGCAGCTAGTTTTGTGGTCGCGAGCAACTACCAATGCTCCTCCACAGGTAGGATAACAGGCATGTCGGAATTACAAGATTTGTCAATGTTGTCTGATGTCGCGTCGCAGAGTGGCGATCCTTTGGCTAACGCGGGGGCACTGTTAGGACTTCCCAACTGCGTAGATTTTGGTCATTTGATCAAGATGATCAAATGACCAATGATCAAGAGGGTGCGGAGACCCCATTAGCATAGATTAGGCCTACGACAAAAAGCACCACGCATAGCACTCCGGCATCTCGTGACGCGAACAGGGAGGCGCCGCTACAAGTTGCTCCGACACGCACCGCAACTGTAGTCGAGTCTGCGAGCAACAGTTTGCTCTTGAGTAAGGTACTCTTACAGAATGTGCTATCATTTATGCAAAGCCTCGCAAGCACCCTCCAGAACACAGTGCAGGTCCCCGTGCAGACTGTGCGACCATTTGTCAAGGTACACATACCTACCTACAGGGGTTACCACGACTGCAAGAGCGCCAACGAGTATCTTGACCGGTTGCTCCATTATCAGCAGGCGATGGGGCTTTCTGACGTCGAACTTTTCGAGCACATGGTCCCAGTGTCGCTCACGTAGAAAGCAGCCCAAGGGTTCCGACTTATCGGACATAGCGCCTACACGGTAGAAGAGTACTGCGACAGCTTCCGCGGCGAATTCCTACTGACTAATTATAAGTGCCACTTGCGGAAAGAATCGGAGCTACGCACCCAACATCCGGACAAATCCTTGCTGGAGTATGTACTGGCAATGACGAACTGTATCGTCTCACTAGCCCTCACGCCAACAACGCGAAAAAAGTCGAGCGCATTACGCGTCAAGCGCATCTGACTTTTGCGGCGCACTTCAGGAGATGTAAGTTCGCAGACATAAAAGAGCATGCCACCAAGGCGAAGCTCATACAAGGGCACATCCTCTCTGCACAATCGTATCACCCACCTTCGCCCGCAGCGCAGTCAGTCAAGCCTCGCTGTGCGTGGAATAGCGGCGCGGAAGCCTCAGAAGCGTTTAGGGGTAATGTGTCAGCATCGTTCGCTGATAAGCCCACAGCATGCGGTTGGGAGCTTTCAGATCGCGCTTTAGACTCCTGCGCTTACGCGCTCCGTACGGCGCACGCCATCCCCATGGTGTGACATTCCAAGGCAGAAGCACACGGTCGACACGAGGCCTAACAAGCGGCACAACCCTGAGCGAGGGCTACCTGATCAAAGCGACTTACGATCGAGCCAGCGTGGTTTCCGCGGTTTTCGCTAGCGGTGCGACGCGCTGGGGCACGTCACCCGCGAATGCGACCGCACACCAGGTCAGGAGCGAACGTACAGGAAAGTTCAGGAAACAGACGATGTTGCCGGTGATCCACATCGGACACCACGCGGTGATCAGTAATTCCACCGATGCCTTGCGTTCACTTGCACCATCAGTCTGTCACACAGGTGAGGCCGTAGACTCGCCCGCGCCGCTAATCGAGCTAACGATAGCTCAAAAGAAGTTGGTAGCACTTTTCCATTCTGGGGCAAGTGCTTCTCTGTTCGGCGACGATGTTTTACACTATCTCCGCAAAAACAATATTGGCATGAGACAAAGCAGCACCATCTTCCACCTGGGTGTGGGCACAACACAATCGAGCGGCGTGACTGGGATAGTGATCTACAGAGACAGACGCATGAGGCGACAAAGTTTCGTGCATCTTCCTGGGCTGTCAATGTCTCTAATACTGGGTCGAGACTTTCTCCCCAAGTCGGGTATTGTCATTGACATTGCAAACGGCGGTTACGAAGAGAGCGACGGAGACGCGCTATAGCTTTTCTCGAAGGCCCCCTCATTGACAAAAGCATGCCAATCGCAGGAAAAGGTCGCTAGTACGCGGGGAGGAAAGCACGTTGAGAAAGTGAGTAACCACCCTGCCAGAACAATGTGCTGCACTGCAGAAAAGTGCAGTGCACCTGCTTTTGGTAGAGGCCTAGTAAAAGGAAAACGAGTGCAACTGTCGTCGCTGTTATACAAGTATGACGCAATGTTTACTGATCGTCCCGGCCACCCTACGCTGGTCAAGCATAGAATTGACACTGGTGATGCACGACCTTGAAAATGCAATGCGACGACTGATCAGCTTGGCTAAGTGGGAAGCACTTGGCGCCGCCTTGGACGAACTCATGGACACAGGCATAGATGATAAGTCAAACAGCCCATGAAGTTTCCCAGTAGTGCTAGTTCCAAAGAAAGATGATAAATATCACCTTTGTGTGGACTAACGCAGGCTGAATGAGGTTACGAAGAAGGACGTGTACCTTTTTCTCTCTATTTCACCATTGGTATCCAACCTAGGCGGGGCGAAGTACTTCACTACGCTCAATGCTAGCCGTGGATATTTTAAGGTTGAGATGGACGAGCGGGATAAAAAGAAGTCAACTTCTATGTGCCACACGGGACTTTTCCAATTCAGGAGAATGCCTTTAGCTTGGTGGAAGCTCCTGCTACGTATCAGCGTTAAACCCCACATATCAATCAATGCTACGTATCAGGGGCTAATTGACTGTGTTTTGGATATCCAAAGTGGCAGCACGCACTCGCATATCTAGATGACATAGTGGTTTACTCGAAAATGTTTGAAGAGCAGTTGCACCACTTGAAAGACGTTCTAGAAAGACTGAGGTCTGCGGGGCATGACTCTGAACCCAAACAAAGCTCAGACAGTAGGGACTCGAATAACATTACTGGGATTCACGCTTTACGAGGATTGCATTTTGCTGGATAAGGGTAAGCTTGAAGCGATAGTGAGCTATCCATCACCGAACAATTTATTTTATTTATTTATTTATGGTACCCTCAGGGCCCGAAGGCATTACAGAGGGGAACAATATTGGTGAGCTGAGGCGCTTTCTGAGGATGGTGAACTTTTATCGCCAGTTCATTCCAGACTGCGTGGCACTGCAGGCGCCTTTGACGATGCTCTTGAAGAATGACGAGCATTGGGCTTAGAGCCAAGAGCAGGAGGCCGCACTGCGTCGCCTCCCGAAGTTGCTAGCCAACACGACTCAGCTGCAGCTACCCTGTTTCAACGAGGAGTTTGTGATTCGCACAGATGCAAGCGACACAAGCTAACGAGCAATTCTGCTTCAAGAGTATGGAGGCTCCCTCTGATTGATTACTTTCACGAGCCGTATGTTAACACCAGCGGAAAGGAACTACTTCGTAACCAAGAAAGAGTGTCTAGCGATAGGTTTTCGCACTCCGTAAGTTTGATCTTTACATCGACGGAGTTGTGTTTGTGATTGAGATTGACCACATGATGGTCACCTAGTTGGGGCGCTTGAACGAACCAAGTGGCCACCTGGGGCGTTAGGCATTGCTGCTGCCATGTTACGACTTCACCGTTCGCTACCGCAAGGATAAGCACAATACCGCAACCGACGCACTATCCCATGCTCCAGTCCGACACAAGGAAAGTCATGCGACTAATTCAGAACGATTTGAGAGCTAGACACTCGCACTAACGCAAACAGCGAAGCAAACGTTTGTTCAAGGCAAATGCGTGAACCGTGTATAGGCTGTCACTAGCGCAGAGATTGTTTTCAGCAAAAGTGAACTGTTAGAAGCTGAGCAGAAAAATCCATTTTGATGAATGGTGTTCGACGAGCTCTGGGAGCCGAATGGTAGTGAGGCCATCAAGCACATGGGGGCAGCTGGTATTGCTGTCGGGGCGGAGCGCTCGGCATTGGCTGGTAGTGCTGTCAGTGCACTGGATTCATATTGGCTTGATTCTCATGGCGTCCTACTGAGGTAAATCCCATCAAACAATGACACAAGTGAGTCATTCAAAGTCATGATACCGCACACATTGAGAGGAGCACTTCTTCGCTACTTTCATGACTCATGCAATGCCGGGCATGCGAGCGGCCCTAAGACTTACGCTAAATTGTGTCGCCTCACTACCTTGCCAAGCATGAAGTGGGATGTAGTTCACTATGCCCATTCATGTAGAGTGTGCCAAAGCGTCCCATCTAGCACTGGGGCTGACAGCTTGGGGAGCTCACACTGATGTGCGACGATGAGCTG